AGCGACTGAGCGGAGCGCACACGCATAGAGCGGGATAATACGCAGAGCATCACACCACATGAAAGTGCGCTACTGTAAGCTGCTGTGTGAACGGGACATTTCGAGACTCACACCTGTTAGTAAATGCGGTTATCAATCCCAAAAACTGACAGTGTGAACGTAGCAATAATAAGAGAAATGTCATGTGTAATCTTATTGCTATCACACATTTAAACAGCTTCAGATTGTGACCTATTTTGTGACTTTTTGTCTGTGGACTATTAATACTATTAAAATAATTTTAAATAATAATAATTAAATATTTTTTATATATTTACTTTTATTATTATTATATTTGTATTACATTTTATATTTAATAATAACAACAACTTCATATTAACAGCTTTCAGTCAATAATAAAGTTGAACAGATAGGCTAGTTATTCATCCATTCTAGCATTGCTAAAGTACAGCAATTAACATTATTATTTATTCTATTATATTTAATTGTATTAAATATAATGTATTATATTTAAATTATATAATATCAATATTTTCTATCAAAATTAAAGTTGGATACAAGGTTATTATACCAACCAAAAAATCCAGAAAAAACACATTATATAAAGGTTAGAAATTGATTTGCATTTCAGTGAGTGAAATAAGTCTTTGATCCCCAAGCAAAACATGACTAAGTACTTGGTGCACAAACCCTTGTTGGCAAGAACAGAGGTAAGACGTTTCTTGTAGTTGGTCACCAGGTTTGCACACATCTCCGGAGGCATTTTGATCCACTCCTCTTTACAGATCCTCTCTAAATCCATAAAGTCTGTACATGCCTGTACATGTGCTTTCTTGAGCAGGGGGACTGCAGGATTTCAGTAGTGTGTTACCAATGTTTTGCTTGGTGACTGTGGTCCCAACTGCCTTAAGATCATTAACAAGCTCCTCCTGTGTAGTTCGTTTTCCCCACTGTAGCTGAAGTCTAGCACATTCTGAAGATGACATGCATTCTAAAGATGCTAGTGAACATTCTGACATGCAGTTTTGACACTTCCAGTGTAGGCAGATTCAAGCTATTATCACGAAAGATATGTAGTAGACATACTTCAATCCATGCGATTTTGAATTGAGGACAGTAGCAACAAGTATTCAACATAATTACAACAACAAACATCCAACAATACATCACTACCATATATACACAGATCTACAGTATTCTTCATAAGCTGAATACTCAGGACATTTACAACATTGCCTTCATGTAATGTTAAGAAACACAGTTGCCATTATACAATGAAAAGCAGATAATGGGGACTAAAGTTCATGATTAACAACACAGTGCTCAGGGTAGGACATGAAAACCAACTTAGTTTAACTAAGAACCTACTACCAGAAATCATTACTACAGAGCCAAAGCACTATTTCAAATCCAAACAAAATAAAACATTAAACACTGCCTGACTGTGCTCTTTATCTTACAGTGGAAGAGCAATGAGAAGTTAAGTGCTTTACTGGGAACATATCCATTACTGGAAAGGGGAAGGGAAAGGGAGAGAGAGAGAGACAGAGTAAGCCAGAGAAGTACAAAGAATTAAAGCGCTTAAAGACAGAAAAGTAGACCAGGAATGGAGAATATGAGGGAGCGATGTATAGGTTACTAGAGGAAAGGCCAACAAGAGATCAAGCACGTGAATGATTGATGCTGACATTAGTCACAGTCATCTGACTGTGATCACATGACGTTTTGTGCATTTTAGCCAATAAGCCACTGCTTGTAGATCACTGGGTTACTGTAAACGTCACGACAGCAGAAACTAGTGCTGGGCACCGAATACCGGTGTTTTATTTTTGTTATGATATGAATTTTTTAAATACCGCAATACCGGTGTATGTCGCTTAAACTAGTGCTGGAGAAAATGACAGAAACCCTGCTCAACGAGAAGAGCCTAGAGCATCTAAACATAAAAGCATCATGAAACCTTAAACATGAGTGTAACAAAACATGACAGCATCACAAATACAAAAGACAAGACTGTAAACATATCTACTGCCCTACAGGGGATCATACTGTGAGACATAAAGAAGAGAAGTCTTCAAAATACTCATTTCTAGCAAGAAACATCAAGTTACAGGAAAACAAACATAGGAAGACATGGATAAATGTTGAGAAATGAGAGAAAATGGCAGATTGCCTCACTTCCCTGAAGAGACAATGGAGAGATCACTGAAAAGGAATTAAACTGAAATGAGAAACAGGAACTACTTAGTGAGAATCAGCCTGATTGGAGCACAGCCATTGACTGAAACTGAACAAACAGTCTGGAGACTTATTCAAGTCTCTAATGCATGTACAGGTTTACAACCAGATTAAAGAGACTCTGGAGCTGCTTTTTTTGTAACGACAGATTCAAGACTCAAGCTAAAGCACACAACGTGCTCCTACACGTTCACAAATCGCACAAACATGACCACAACACAGGGAAAAAAAAGAAAACTCTCGCCCACATCTTCATGAATAAACTCCCACACCAGTGCACACAGAACAGCTCATGCAAACTAACACCGCCTCTTGACGTCACGCGCAGACCCTGATATGTAAAGCAAACACATGCACTGAAACATTTGCTATCGTTTCAACCACAAACAACATGATGTCAAAAATAGGCGCTAAATATATCTGACAGGCTACTTCCACACAAACACTGTCTCTCATCGCACAAAAATGTCTCTGTGACACTAAAGGGCCATTATTTCCTGTCTAGAGCACTCCAATAAAGTAGAGATGTCTCCAAACAGTGGACTAATGGAGACAGTGAGTAATCTTCTCGCAGACATGTGTTCCTCTATTGTATCTAGTTCAGCTACTATCATGAAATGAAGTGAATCGACTGGGCACAAAGTGTGTCATAAATCAAGCAGTACAGGATGACTAGGAATCTCATCATTGAGGCTGTAAGTAATCGGAGGTCAACACCTGTTATCAATGTTATTTTCATTAAAATCACAAAGAAGTAGTGACAGATTTTTTCTTCCATATTATGATGTACATCCCAGCGAAACAAATGATCAAAATAGAACAAAATGTAGGGCTGGGTTGTTGAGTGGTTAGAGAAAGATCTGCTTGCAGTCAGATTTTATGTGGATGAAATGACTGAGGAGTCTGACATTTGTCACTGGAAGATCGAGTTATGATATTTTAATTAACCCTATGGTGTTGTTAGATCATTTTAGACAGAAAAAAAAATGCTTTGAAATTTTAAAAATCGCTACTTCATTGGAATGGTACAAAACTCGATGACTTTTATGGCAGTCATTATGTGACCACAAAAAAAATGTCATGTAATGTAATTGAAAAGCTAAAATGGTCGTTAAAAAAAAAATAGTCACACTTGTGTTGTTCACGGTCAAAAATTACTTCCATTGGAAATTAATGGGAAATACACAAAGATACAAAAATACAGATTTTTTTTTTGTGTGTGTACAATCTACAAATCATTCACGATGCAGAAAAAACGTGCACACAGACACACATATATGAACTAGTGTGACTGTAACACAAAGCATGTTTTTGCAAATGTGTGAAATATAATCAATAATTTAGCCACAATGCAGTAAAAACACAGACACGAAGGAAGGAGTTACACTCTAAAACTTCAAGAGTACAAAACAGACACACACACAAACACACAACACTATTATACACACACACACAAATGAACTGGTGTGGCTGTAACGATATGACAAAATTTAACCAGAAGACTCAAATAAGAGGTTGAAATCAGATTGATTAACCTCTGATAAATCATTCCTGTTTATTTTTGTTACATTTTTGTTGAATTTTGATGTTATGTGTAACAAAATGTCTTTCTGTGTTCAGGTTTGACTGTAAAATTAAAGCAAAAACTGACATTTAAAATAAAACAATCTATACCTTTAAAAAAAGTTGTCTTTGAGAATGTCTAAATATATATCCGAATCCACAACTTAATAAAAATAAGTATTTATGTCTAAAAACAACTAGAGAATTTATAAGCCTTTTTATAGAGCTATATAGGAATCTAGTGGCTAACAATGAAATTGCAGATGTTTTTCTTTTTTGTTACTCCCACTAGATCTGCCTTCAAAAATTTGATTTTAACATGAAATACTATGAAGGTAAAATAGTAACAAAACTCGAAAATTTGAGAACTTGTCATATTAATATTCGTATTTGAAAGTTGAAATTTACACTCACAGCTCTGATGTGAAAAGCTAAATGTTTTGATTTGCACACACAGACAACAATCAAAACATCCGTGTTTTAAATTCAAAGTTGCAGTTACAAATGTGTAAAATGGCATTCACATAAACAAAATAACAGACACAAATGTGTACGACATATTTACTTTTGCACTGTACTTCAGTTTCACTATACAACCACAAGTCAGCACTTACAACCTCTCAGATCTGGCAGTACAACTTCAAATCCTAGCGCTTTAAATAACTTATAAAGAAATTTGAAAACCTTGTGTGAGACGTAATTTCACAAACAGCGTGAGTGAATCGTCGCGCGTGCGCTCTCTCTCTTTCTCTCTCAAAATATGCAAATGGCTTCAAATCACCACACATCGCGCCTGTCTATAAGCGAGCTGCACGCTGCACAGTTGACACAGGAATTGTCACTTGCACAGTCGAGGCAGTGTCACACAAGAGTCACCTAAGAGGGGAATTCCCCCCATTTTCAAAAATGAAATTCAGGCCCTGTATAAATGTCTAAAAATCCTGGTTGGAGTATCACTATAAATAGTAATAAATGATAAAAAGAACGCTTTAAAAAGATCGGTATCGGTGATCGGTATCGGCAGATACTGCTTTCTGTGATCGGCCTCAAAAATCCTGATCGGAGCACCCCTAGTGCAAATCAAAAGATTCCGCTTTTCACATCAGAGTGTGAGTATAAATTTCAACTTTCAAATACGAATATTAATATGAAAAGTCCTCAAATTCAAATCAACAAGCTCTCGAGGTTTGCTACTATTTTACCTTCATAAAATACTGCCATAACTGAAACGTAATATAAAAATATTAGAAAAACAAATTGTATTATTTTCAATGGGGGAAAAAATTTTCATAATTATAGCATAAATATTAATTAGCATCATGAAATTCTCTCAAAATACAAAATAAATAAGAAAAAAATATTATTGAACAAAAACATAATCTAGATTGAAAATAAAAAAGTTACATTTCAGGTGTTCGGCCACTTTTGACCACAAACAACACAAGTGTGACCCCCAAATGAACCATACCAGAGGGTTAAATATATACAGGCAAAAATAAATAAATAAATGAAACATACATTGATGAATCAATAATTCACCATAAGATCAATAACAAACATTTAGAAATTAAATAGTCTGAATTTTCATTTCATGCTGACTTTAACAAAAACTGAAACACAATTTAAAAAAAATTAAATAATATAAACATAAATATAACATAATGAAGAAACCAGAAACTATACTACATTCTAAAATTAATTAATACATAATAAAGTGGCCACAACTCATTTTAGTTTTAGATACATAAACTAAACTGAAAACAAATAAAAATAAAAAGGAATAAAAACTCAATTGTAAACTATAACAACCCTATCTTTATCTAAACCTTAGAGTAAATCTGAATAAATCACATGAAACATTGTGGAAACTCAACTGTCACACAAAACTAATGCAAGATCATGCAGAAGCAGCAGAATGATTTCAAACTGCCTGAATCTGGTTTAAAAGACATCTTTGACTAAAGGTGAACTACTTTCATTGAAATTGCAGAAAAAAAACATCTTTAGTGCAAACTCAAGTTAGGGACAAAGCCAGTGGATAACTGTCCGGATGAGTGGGTGAGGGGCCTCTGGAATGGGGAGAAAAGGCAAAGCTAATTTCAGGCAGACTGAATGAGTGCTGAGCATAACAAACGACTCTACCATGGCAACAGTCTGTAACTCTATTGACTGAGTCCAGTAAAGGATCCATGTGGCAATATCCCATCCATAGCTTTTGGGGAAATATAACATTGCTGTCATAAACTAAATATGACACATTTTATTAAGACTACAAGACCTTTCTCAATCTCCCCTAGTGACATAAATGTCAACGATGAAATAATGCGATTATTCCAGCTGACTGATGTCATCATGTGGGAAAGTCCCTTCAACCAAAAATCCAATGAAAAAACTAGGTTATAACAACATTTACAGCATCACTCATTTATTCCTTTGTTTGTTCGTATGTTTCTAATCAAACACAGAACAAAATAAACAAATTTAATACATTTCCAAATAGTTGCATGTTAATAAAATAGAGCAAACAATAAACAAAAACTATATATAAAAAATGTTGCACAGCAAACTGACAGAAATAGTAGTGGCAGTAATGGCAGTACTATCACTTCATCATTTTATATTAATCAGCCTGGTCTACCACAAAGTTTGATTTCAGGTAATATGATGGCACTTTTTCAGTTGATATGGTCACTTTGTAAATATACAAAACTAGTGGTATTCTGGCAGGTGTCAAACACACAATGAAGCACAAGGATTGTTCAAGAATTTGCTTCTTTGTACTAATTAAAATCAGCAGACCTGTTCAAACCCAACAATTCTGACTGAAAATATGTTTAATGATAAAAAGTATAAAATGTAATTTATTAATTTATTCAATCTAAAACGTAACAATGCAATAAATACGCAAATTTTTATATCCCAAACAAAACATCTTTAAGATAAATATATGTTTTCTTTTTTTAGATTACTATTCAGCGATAAGGTCGCAAATTCTTTAACAAATTTGTACTTGGTCTCAAGCCAACAATAATCACAGTGTAAGAAAAAGTCACAAGAGAAGAGATGTCTAAAGGGTTCATTCAAGGGTTCAAGTTCAGGATTAAGGACATTGCAAGGTTTTTTGGTGATTTGGTGATTATCGTATCAATTAGACAGGAAAAATGTTGGATTAAAAATAAAGGAGCTAAAGAATTATTTCTGATGAAATGTGACCAAAGCAAAAGATGAAATGTTGGAGAACTCTGATAAAATAAAGCACAGATCTTTACATAATGTGCCTAAAACTGTAGGGTGGGATGCTGAATAAAGATGGCTCTGAGAAGAATGACTAAAAATATGGCCTGACAGAAAGAGAAAATTGATTTAATCAGGTTTCTAATGGTAAGACTAAACCTTTTGACACTTGAAACATTAATAAAATAATGAAAAATTAACAAAAGGCAGTGAAGAGCATTAAATCACTCCAGACTGAGAAGCTCCACATCGAAGATGAGGGTCGCATTTGGGGGAATAATCCCAGGATGGCCTTTATTACCGTAGGCATAATCAGGTGAACAGGTCAGCTTTGCATGTTGGCCCACACTCATCTAAAGTCACACAAACATAAGCATGAATTATTTGAAAATGTTTTCATTTGAAATATCAATCCTAGGCAGTCTGGATTTGGTAGTGCTTCATTAAGACACCATTTAACCTTAATTTAACTCAAAAAGTGTTACACATGATATTCTGAGTGGAAAAAACACCATCACATACCTGCGCAATACCTTCCTCCCAGCCACGGATCACTTCCTGTTTACCAATCTTGAACTTAAATGGCTTGTCACGGTCACGGGAAGAGTCGAACTTCCGTCCATCTGTCAGAGAGCCTGAAGATTTAAGAGGAAAGGGACAAGGCCAGAAAAACAGGAAATGAGGTTAGAGCATCAGATAAATGGGCTACTTTATTATTGTTATTATTATTTATTCTGTTCTATCAGGGAGATTTTCTGTCTCTCTAACCCATGTTTAATAGCAGTAAATTATCAGGTTATGAGCCATACCTCTTTCAAGAACATGGCAAATGTAGAGTAACGTGTACATAAACAAGTCAAGCAGAAAAGAGTCACTGATCCACTCATTAACACAAAGCAGGAATCAGTTACATTTATTCAGTACGTATATACTCTAATTCTCTTTAACAACAATGGTTCTTTCTGACCTGTTGCTATGACTCCATGTGAATATAAATCAAGTTCACAGGCAGAGTATCTAGAAAATCTCCCACTCTTCTTCCTATGTAATAAAGAAATAATGAGATGGAAGCCCTGAAGCGCAAGGTGGAAATTAGTTTGGAGTGCTTTGCCTTCCTGAGTCCAATTTCTTCATTATTTATTTTCTCCCTGCTCAATATACCTTTTCATTCTTTTGTGACATTTTGTTCTGTTTTTATTTTATGTTTATTTGCTTTAGTAAATTTCTAAAATTTAAAAATCACAGTGAAACTATAAAAAAAAGGTTTCATAAAAATCTAAGTAAACAATTTTAGGAGATGTGCGGGGGTGCATCAAATAAAATAAAAGGATTAAAAAACAAAAAAGATGCAGAAAAATGCAAAGAAAGAAAGAAAGGGTCATGAGAATGTAATGCAAATTTCAAAATGACAGAAATGTGGGCTCTTTTGGCACAATGATATAACTGATATTATATCAATGCTGCATAAAGTAGGCTACAAGCAGCGTATGCAAGATGGCAGGCAGTTTGTCCACTTTAATTCAACTGTGTGATAAACTTTCCAAAATTCGATTAAGTTACCTATTTAATCATCAAATAATCTACTTGACAGAATAGGGTTACTTGGTTATAGTTGAACGATTAAAAGGCAATCACAACATCCCAGAGCTCGACTCACTCCAGACAGTGATAATCCGTCTATCCGACGCCGCCAATCTCTGTCCAACAAAGACTGAATCACACGAGCGTCTATAAAATCTGTTCAGTCTCAGCTGTCAGAAGAGGATCATGTCTGCGGACAAATGCCCGTGCGTGCAAACAATACACAACTAATAATGCATAATAGCTTTGTCTCGCTTTGTATATTTTACTGTATCTTTACAGCACTGCCACTCTTCAGATATATGCAATTTTTAAAACTCAACGTCGGATCGCACGTCTGTTTGGAAAGATGTATTAACCTTTTTCTCTAAATTAAGTCAGTTTTATAAATTCCCCATATACAAAAATCCATATACGGCCACAAAAATACAACATAAGTAGCCTACACCACCAAAAGAAAATCTGAAATTCAACTCACCAACATAATGCACCACACATGTCTGTCCCTTTTTGGGGAAAGTCCTCCCTGTAAAAGCAGCGAGAGGAGAAACGGGGAGCAGGAGACAAGAGCAATAATATAATGCTGTTAAACGCACGCAGCTTGACAAATAAAACTCTACTTTGCATAATAGAAGCTGCATTAAGGTGATTTTACCATCTCCGGGGGTTATGGTCTCGATCTCTACTCCCATGTTTCTGAAGAGCCCTCCCGCACACTGTCTCGCTCGCAGCAGTTTGCAGGCAGAGAGGAGCGATGCTGTCGGGTCACGTGACCGCAGCGAGAAAACTGGGAGAAGGTCCAATAGCAGCGCACTAATTTAACATAACATAAATCCTGCTGGTGACAAATGTGACCCGTCCCCTTTGTTATGCCCAGTAAGTGAAAAATACAATTAGCCTATTGTTTTAAAAAAGCAAATAACGTTTTTAAATACTATTTTTTAAGTACAAAAAAATGTTCGATGAATCCCCCAGCCTCCAGCTCATTGTGAAGTACCTGTTACATAACATGCTCTCAACACTCATTTCATCTATAGTGTTGTAATGTGGGTGACTGGAGTAGCACATATCCACCTCCCACGCCTCCTCCATGAACTAGAGAACTGCGCGGGACGAATTTTTCAGTCCCACACCCGCAGATATGTTATCTTGTCCCACTCCCACCCGCAACATTCATGTTTTGTCCGGTTTTGTCCCGCTACTTCCTGCAAAAGCCCGCATAAAAGTAGCATATATAGATTTTTTCAGTACATCCATGAAATTTACATGAAATAGTAAGTTCTGCAACATCCCAGCATAAACGCACCCGATAAAACATTTGTTATTTAGGCATCAACATCAACAAACCACTGTTATTTTCATCAGGGGGGTATTCCAGAAAGCAGGTTATGTGACAAACCCCGGTATGTTTAAGGGTTAGTAAGCGGATAAACTCAGCTTTCGGTTCCAAAAACGGATGTAACTCTCAGGGTATGTAAATAGCCATAGCAACTATATCCTAATACCCCCCAGGTCTCTACCATGCACATGTCAAGCCACCCAACACGTTATTAATCGGACTATCGACCACAAGGGGGCGCCATGCGAAACAGAAAACCATGCACATGCACATATTTACACGTTGCTGTTTATTTGTACACTTTTACATCATTATCGTCATTACCATTGTGGAATAAAAGTGCTGTTACAAACACTCAGACTAGCTGTGTGTATTTTCAACGTTATAATACTCTCTCCCAGCTTACACTTGTTTTAAAATTGCTTCTAGTCTCTGAAACTATAGCTCCTTTTCTCTAAACTCTACACACAAAACATGCACACAACATGCAAAACATTACGCATCTCTTGCAAAATCAAACACTTCTTTCAAAACTATTTTAACTTTTATAAAAAAAATATTTTTTTGCATAGTAACTGTTCACACAAACATAAAATGATATCGTACATGCCAAACTACACATGGATATGACAAATGTAAAACACTACTATCTTGTATCTTTTGATTGTTCAGTGTGCAGTGGAGGGCACAGGAGTTTGTCCTAGCACTCACATGTACATGTATGTACAAAAATACACTGTATATACAGTGTGGATGCACAATTGATGAGCCTTACAGTTCTTGAACTGAACTGAACTCAATGAAAAAACTAGGTTATAACAACATTTACAGCATCACTCATTTATTCCTTTGTTTGTTCGTATGTTTCTTTGTTTGTTCGTATGTTTTCCGCTATTCAGTCATCAATAATTCAGTTCCTTCCATTATTTATTGACTGAACCTACAGATAATCGAAAGTAAAACTTGTTTCTCAAGAAACAAACAGGACCAGGTTTCATAGCAGACAAACATCGTGGGATTAATAACATTTAATACGTCAAATGCGAAAACGCCTGAAACAAAATGTCTGAATGTTTCCGTTACGTGGCAAATATCTAAATATATCATCGACATCGTCATGTGATTCACTGCCGAACAATGTATATATGTAATCTATAGTCATGAACATTTAACTGTCTGCTCTAAATTACCCAATAACTGTAAGGCAATGAATGCACCTGTCAACTGTTTTAAAAACTAAACTAAGGTTTTATCTACTATGTCACCTTAAACTAAGCAATATTACCACAATATAAAAGCAGTCTGACTGATTCAGACTGTATTTGTTGTGTTTAGCTCTCGAGCTAGTCACGGAAACTCCGTTATCAACCGCACAATCATGCTAATTACACGAATAGTTATATTTCTTTCTCCTTAAAATAATGACCGGGTGATATGATACAAAATATCCTTAAAAATACAATAAATATAACTGAACTGAGCTCAGCTAAGTAAACACAAGCACGTCTTTGTTCTTCGTGTGTGTGTGTGTGTGTGTATATGTGTGTGTTAGCTGGAGCCTGGTTAAGTTTAACGTTAGCTTCGGTTAGCCAGTGAGTCCCACATACCTGACAGAGTAAAATCACTCTGACGATAATTAAAATAACATTTAGACATACCTGCGCAATACCTTCCTCCCAGCCACGGATCACTTCCTGTTTACCAATCTTGAACTTAAATGGCTTGTCACGGTCACGGGAAGAGTCGAACTTCCGTCCATCTGTCAGAGAGCCTGAAGATTTAAGAGGAAAGGGACAAGGCCAGAAAAACAGGAAATGAGGTTAGAGCATCAGATAAATGGGCTACTTTATTATTGTTATTATTATTTATTCTGTTCTATCAGGGAGATTTTCTGTCTCTCTAACCCATGTTTAATAGCAGTAAATTATCAGGTTATGAGCCATACCTCTTTCAAGAACATGGCAAATGTAGAGTAACGTGTACATAAACAAGTCAAGCAGAAAAGAGTCACTGATCCACTCATTAACACAAAGCCCACAATATAAAAGCAGTCTGACTGATTCAGACTGTATTTGTTGTGTTTAGCTCTCGAGCTAGTCACGGCAACTCCGTTAGCAACCGCACAATCATGCTAATTACACGAATAGTTATATTTCTTTCTCCTTAAAATAATGACCGGGTGATATGATACAAAATATCCTTAAAAATACAATAAATATAACTGAACTGAGCTCAGCTAAGTAAACACAAGCACGTCTTTGTTCTTCGTGTGTGTGTGTGTGTGTGTATATGTGTGTGTTAGCTGGAGCCTGGTTAAGTTTAACGTTAGCTTCGGTTAGCCAGCGAGTCCCACATACCTGACAGAGTAAAATCACTCTGACGATAATTAAAATAACATTTAGTTTAGAGAGTGTGGCGTCTTACCTTTTTGCTTTCAAACGACTGACTTCTGAAGAAATTGGATAAATGTGATGGGAAGAAATGTAAACAAGCCAAGCACAGTAAACGGGACCCTTTTCCTCTTTAGGTTGGTGCAGAAGTGAACAGAGGGGAGGTGATCGAGAAAAAAGTACTTGCGCGTATATTTCTTTGGTTAAGTAACACAGTTTACTTCCTGCTACCTCATTCATGTAGGAGGCTGGGCTGAAACATCTGTTTATATTTGTATTACTCATTAATTTTAGCACTGTTACTCTGCCTGCCAAAAACTACCATGGTAACAATATCTCCAGCAGTGCTGGAATACCAATTTATCAGTTCTACCAATATATCAAATTTAGCTCAGCAACAACATAAAATGACTACAATCTTTTGAAGTATTGTAGCTATACATGCTTTGGTTTGATTCTGATTTATGTGTTATACAATAGCTTCAATAACGAATAAATTGCTGAACCATACATCAGCTGTAAATTAATTGAGTTGGATCTCATTGTAAATCTGCTTCCATAAAATTTTAAGGTAAATGTTTCCTGCCTTTCAGCTTTCATTTATTATAGGAGTACCAATAAAAGAACATAAGGGATTATTAGTGGACACTATACATAGTCATAAAACAGTGAAGGTACTAAGCTGAAATGACACAAACAAGCAACATTTTCCAAAACATGTAAAAGCACTTTATAGCACATTTGAATTCTTTTATTGTCTTTAAGACAATACATAAATATAGAGTGCATTACAGAAATATTAAAGCCATATATCTGATGCTTGCCTTGTAATCACAGAAATTGCCAGCATCCACTCAAGTATTTAAGCATCTGCAGATTTCTTTTAAATTAAAAATGATTTCCATGTCAATACAAAAAAGTACTGTATCTGCATCCAGTATAATCACATCTATTGTCTAGGCAGCATGGTCAACATTAACATCCATGAATGGCTGCAAATAATTTAGCATCAATATGTAAATATGAATGGCAAGTACTGTATGTCATATGTAGGTCACAATGTGCTAAGAAGCCACAACCCCTTATTTTGTTTTTCAGATCTTTGTCCATCAATGAAAACAAATTTTCCAGTCTCCGTGAGAACAGAAAGTGCCCATCAATTATAGATATCAATTAGCAAGTTAATGTATTGTTTTGAGATTTGATGAGACAATGAACAGTGATCACAAAATCTTTAAGCACTAAGAATCGCATGCATCCATTGCTACAGTGCCAAATGTGCCACCTACTCAACTACACAACCTAATCAAACACAGAACAAAATAAACAAATTTAAACTCTAACCCATGTTTAATAGCAGTAAATTATCAGGTTATGAGCCATACCTCTTTCAAGAACATGGCAAATGTAGAGTAACGTGTACATAAACAAGTCAAGCAGAAAAGAGTCACTGATCCACTCATTAACACAAAGCAGGAATCAGTTACATTTATTCAGTACGTATATACTCTAATTCTCTTTAACAACAATGGTTCTTTCTGACCTGTTGCTATGACTCCATGTGAATATAAATCAAGTTCACAGGCAGAGTATCTAGAAAATCTCCCACTCTTCTTCCTATGTAATAAAGAAATAATGAGATGGAAGCCCTGAAGCGCAAGGTGGAAATTAGTTTGGAGTGCTTTGCCTTCCTGAGTCCAATTTCTTCATTATTTATTTTCTCCCTGCTCAATATACCTTTTCATTCTTTTGTGACATTTTGTTCTGTTTTTATTTTATGTTTATTTGCTTTAGTAAATTTCTAAAATTTAAAAATCACAGTGAAACTATAAAAAAAAGGTTTCATAAAAATCTAAGTAAACAATTTTAGGAGATGTGCGGGGGTGCATCAAATAAAATAAAAGGATTAAAAAACAAAAAAGATGCAGAAAAATGCAAAGAAAGAAAGAAAGGGTCATGAGAATGTAATGCAAATTTCAAAATGACAGAAATGTGGGCTCTTTTGGCACAATGATATAACTGATATTATATCAATGCTGCATAAAGTAGGCTACAAGCAGCGTATGCAAGATGGCAGGCAGTTTGTCCACTTTAATTCAACTGTGTGATAAACTTTCCAAAATTCGATTAAGTTACCTATTTAATCATCAAATAATCTACTTGACAGAATAGGGTTACTTGGTTATAGTTGAACGATTAAAAGGCAATCACAACATCCCAGAGCTCGACTCACTCCAGACAGTGATAATCCGTCTATCCGACGCCGCCAATCTCTGTCCAACAAAGACTGAATCACACGAGCGTCTATAAAATCTGTTCAGTCTCAGCTGTCAGAAGAGGATCATGTCTGCGGACAAATGCCCGTGCGTGCAAACAATACACAACTAATAATGCATAATAGCTTTGTCTCGCTTTGTATATTTTACTGTATCTTTACAGCACTGCCACTCTTCAGATATATGCAATTTTTAAAACTCAACGTCGGATCGCACGTCTGTTTGGAAAGATGTATTAACCTTTTTCTCTAAATTAAGTCAGTTTTATAAATTCCCCATATACAAAAATCCATATACGGCCACAAAAATACAACATAAGTAGCCTACACCACCAAAAGAAAATCTGAAATTCAACTCACCAACATAATGCACCACACATGTCTGTCCCTTTTTGGGGAAAGTCCTCCCTGTAAAAGCAGCGAGAGGAGAAACGGGGAGCAGGAGACAAGAGCAATAATATAATGCTGTTAAACGCACGCAGCTTGACAAATAAAACTCTACTTTGCATAATAGAAGCTGCATTAAGGTGATTTTACCATCTCCGGGGGTTATGGTCTCGATCTCTACTCCCATGTTTCTGAAGAGCCCTCCCGCACACTGTCTCGCTCGCAGCAGTTTGCAGGCAGAGAGGAGCGATGCTGTCGGGTCACGTGACCGCAGCGAGAAAACTGGGAGAAGGTCCAATAGCAGCGCACTAATTTAACATAACATAAATCCTGCTGGTGACAAATGTGACCCGTCCCCTTTGTTATGCCCAGTAAGTGAAAAATACAATTAGCCTATTGTTTTAAAAAAGCAAATAACGTTTTTAAATACTATTTTTTAAGTACAAAAAAATGTTCGATGAATCCCCCAGCCTCCAGCTCATTGTGAAGTACCTGTTACATAACATGCTCTCAACACTCATTTCATCTATAGTGTTGTAATGTGGGTGACTGGAGTAGCACATATCCACCTCCCACGCCTCCTCCATGAACTAGAGAACTGCGCGGGACGAATTTTTCAGTCCCACACCCGCAGATATGTTATCTTGTCCCACTCCCACCCGCAACATTCATGTTTTGTCCGGTTTTGTCCCGCTACTTCCTGCAAAAGCCCGCATAAAAGTAGCATATATAGATTTTTTCAGTACATCCATGAAATTTACATGAAATAGTAAGTTCTGCAACATCCCAGCATAAACGCACCCGATAAAACATTTGTTATTTAGGCATCAACATCAACAAACCACTGTTATTTTCATCAGGGGGGTATTCCAGAAAGCAGGTTATGTGACAAACCCCGGTATGTTTAAGGGTTAGTAAGCGGATAAACTCAGCTTTCGGTTCCAAAAACGGATGTAACTCTCAGGGTATGTAAATAGCCATAGCAACTATATCCTAATACCCCCCAGGTCTCTACCATGCACATGTCAAGCCACCCAACACGTTATTAATCGGACTATCGACCACAAGGGGGCGCCATGCGAAACAGAAAACCATGCACATGCACATATTTACACGTTGCTGTTTATTTGTACACTTTTACATCATTATCGTCATTACCATTGTGGAATAAAAGTGCTGTTACAAACACTCAGACTAGCTGTGTGTATTTTCAACGTTATAATACTCTCTCCCAGCTTACACTTGTTTTAAAATTGCTTCTAGTCTCTGAAACTATAGCTCCTTTTCTCTAAACTCTACACACAAAACATGCACACAACATGCAAAACATTACGCATCTCTTGCAAAATCAAACACTTCTTTCAAAACTATTTTAACTTTTATAAAAAAAATATTTTTTTGCATAGTAACTGTTCACACAAACATAAAATGATATCGTACATGCCAAACTACACATGGATATGACAAATGTAAAACACTACTATCTTGTATCTTTTGATTGTTCAGTGTGCAGTGGAGGGCACAGGAGTTTGTCCTAGCACTCACATGTACATGTATGTACAAAAATACACTGTATATACAGTGTGGATGCACAATTGATGAGCCTTACAGTTCTTGAACTGAACTGAACTGAATCAACGCTGACTTGAGTTGTATGATGACACTTTACAGCAGAATTTGTTACTGCTGTATTGTATAAATAATTATAGAAATAAAGATGACTTGTATGTATATTCGTATATTTACAAAGTACTGTAAACAGAAATGCAAGGGTGAAAAATTTATTTGTTGCTTAAGTTTGAGTTTTAATTTCTAAGTGATCAAATTAGGTATATTTTAGGGCTGTCAAATCGATTAATTGTGATTAATCGCATCCAAAATAAAAGTTTGTGTTTACACAATGTATGTGTGTACCGTGTATATTTATATGTATATATAAATACACACACATACATGCATATATTTAAGAAATATTTACATGCATATTCATATTTAGATATTATTTATATTATATATAAATATATATTACATATATCTTACACACTGATGCATTATGTAATCACAAACTTTTATTTTGGATTAATCGCGATTAATCGGTTTAACAGCCCTAGTAGATTTACATTATGTGTATCATGTATTAAAGTTTTCACACATGATCATTAGGTGTAAGTAATCAATAATTAAGTGTGGCGTTTAAATAGCAGTTTTTTTGCTAATTAAATACAAGAACAGATAATGTGCTTGCAGTTCTGCAGACTTGGTCTGAAGATTCACTATATGAGTGAATGCTTTCACTGAATGTGCCTCAAATAGCCTAAAACTTTTTAGTTAGCAATTTTAAAAAACTGTAATATGCAGAGACAGTTATCAGTAAACCATTTGCTGGTTTATTCACTGGTTGATATAAACACTTTTCACACAGCAACACTGGCTTAACATGGGTTTGAGGCAGGAATATCTGTTTGTCTGTATATGGTGCGGAAATTGCACACTGCACCTTTAAGTGCACTAATGTTTCTCAATTCTAGTCCTAAGGGGTCCCATAGCACTGCACGTTTT